GGTCAATGAGCATTTTCTGTGATTTGGTCTTTAACATTAATTAAGACAATGGAATACCTTACATGAAGAAGTCTTTGGAAAAATAAATGGAGTTGTGAGATTTCATATAATTTGAAAGGCTGTGCTGTGTAGTGTTGCTTTTTCTGATTTATGATTGGTTAAAATTCTTTTCATTTTCCACAGACATTTGTTAATTGGTTATGTAATTGTCTTTTTTTTTGTATCAGGTTGATAAAACAAAACAAGTTTCCACCTATCAGGAAGTGATCCGAGGAGAGGGAATATTACCTGATGGTGGAGAATATAAACCACCGTCTGATACACTGAAAAGCAGAGACTATTACTCGGATTTCCTAATTACACTGGCAGTGCCCTCGGCAGTAGCACTGGTGCTTTTTCTAATACTTGCTTATATCATGTGCTGCCGACGGGAAGGCGTGTGAGTACTTTAAAACACTAATTAGTAATTGTAGATTTTTCTGAGATTGTAATCCATATGAAAGCATTCTGTAGAAGAGTATCATTCAGTTCATAAAAATACTTTTTAAACAGACCAGCAGAAATATTTAATATATATTGTACTGTTTTCCATCTAAACATGCATTAAAATTATTGGTAACCTCCAAGATAATGGATTTAGGGACTGTAGTTCTATTCAAAATGGTTAAATTGTCTATGCACAAAAAAAATAAAATAAAAATAAAGGACCCACCAATTCAGGACAATTATTTAATTTGACTAAAATTTTCATTCACTGAACATTAATTTTAAAGATCCTAACACTAATAAAATAAATATTGCCAGGGACCTAAATTGAATTTAGGGTTATACAAGCCAAACATATGAAACAAAAGCAGCAAGTAACGTAGTTTCTTCCATCTCTTACACGTACCCTGATTTCATTTTGTCATAGAATTTATTTTAGCCAGAAGCCTTTTCCTTAACTTGCATTTTCATTCACTTGTGTGTGTGTGTGGTTGTCTGTCTGTCATCAGTATCAACAGCTCTATACGTGTGCTCATCCAGTTCTTATCATTAACCTGGTGGCAAATGCTATCAACTTGATTTGGTGGTAACAGTGTCAGCATTTCCACATCATGTACTTTTTCCATCAGCAGATAGATTTAATGTTCCAACTATCAATGCTATTATTTAATTCATAAATTTTGTTTTGTTTTTAGGGAAAAGAGAAACATGCAAACACCAGAGTAAGTGTCTTCTTTCCTGTTATTTTTCTTTCTCATTTAATTTTCATTTCTCAGTAGCTTGTCATGCTTCATACATGTGTCATGCTCTTTTCTCACTCTCCTTGATTCAGTCTAATTCATATATGTGAACGCTGCTATAAAACAGAGAGGTGTGGCAAGGCTAGTAGGTCAGAATAAAAAGGGTTTGTAATTAATAAAGATCAGTTTAATGTAAAATCATTTAGAGTAATAATATTATTATGTAATTAATGTTCATGCATATGTGACTCCCAGTCTACATTTTTACAAGACAATGGACAGATGAAAGAACTTTCATGAAAGGTATCCCGTGCCTACATAATATTCTGCCATAAAATTGAAGCTTCTGTGAGTATTTAGGAATCCACCACAAGAAACAACAATATAAAAGTTACCAAAACTTTTATTTTTACAGCAGTAAATAAATGGAATATTAACATTATATTGCATAGTCTAAGATATTTTAGAAAAATACTTCTTCACACAGCAGTCTGATAGAACAATTCTTGTTTTCAAAATTAAATAACTTAAATATTTGTTTTATACTGAAGCTCTACTATAATTGTTCTACTGATAGTCTGTAGTATGCATCAAAGTCCTTGTATTTCAAAGAAAAAACAATTTTAAATGGTTTTACAAAACTATCCATATTCTTAGAACCCTTTTTAAGAAAAATATTTATTTTATTTCCTTTTAACATAGCTTCCAGTTGGTCCACCACAGTGCTATACAGAAATCCACCAAAGAGCTTCGTGAGATGTCCAAAAATAGAGAGATAGCATGGCCTCTTTCAACACTTCCTGTGTTTCACCCAGTTACTGGTGAGATTGTACCACCTCTTCACACAGACAGCTATGATAATACTAGCATGCCACTAATGCAAACACAGCAGTAAGTATCAATTTAGATCTTTAATGCCTATAATGATTATGCTATACAATTTAGCTGTGGAAGCCAATGTTATTTCTCTGAATATATTAATTTAGTATGTAAGTCCATAGTTAAATTTGCTTTGAAATTTGCATTTAAAGCAGAAATGAAATCTTAGTTTCACTAAGATGAACCAACAGAACTATGCAGATACATCAGCTACTTCCATTGCTGTCAGCCTCCCTCCCAGACTAGAGGAAAAACATCACTGAAAACCAGAAATGATCATTACCATTCTTCAAAACTTAGCTTGTCAAAAAAATTAATCTTGCTCTGTTCCTGATGCGCCTGTGGTGTTCTGGACATATCTCTGCTGAGTCAAGGTGGAAGGTTGGACTCTGGGAAAGAGATGTGGCTGTAGAAAGAGTGACTAGGGATGTGAGGCAGTAGCCTGAAAGTGGGGCTTGAAGGATCAGGGTTTATACCCTGGTTCACTGAGGCAACAATGCTGGGGGAGGCAGGTGCCTTTTCACAAAGGCACTGGCATATCATAGGCTTCCCACAGCATTACTGCCTGGGTCCATTGGAGAGTAGAAGCAGTAATACTGAGGGAGCTCTTTAAGTATTGATACCTTGATGCAGAAACACTACATTCTCTCAGCCTCCTCACACAGTTTTGTTCCCCCACCAAAAACCTTTTCACCCCCACATATCCCCAGTCACCACCTTTGCTCCCCTTCTTCCTTAATCAACCTCTTTGCTCCTCAGATATTCTGACGCTTCTTCCAATTCCTCATAATGCACCATACAGCAGCTCTATAGGAAACCAAGGAAAGGTGAAGGGCCATGAAGCAGTGGGATGAGGATGCAGGGAAATGAATAGGGACTATAGGGGTACACAGCAGAGGCGTGTTGGAAGAGAATTGGAAAAAAGTGGGACTTCAAGCTGCAAGAACCATTGATCATAGGACTGGGGAAGAAAAAGCAGTGTAAGTTATTAAGAGTATAGCTGCTCCTTCCCAAAAGCCCCTCCTAGCTCGTCTGCTGTTTTCCCCGTGCTCTCCACTATAACCTTGTTACCCTCCCTCTTCCCCATGTGCCTCTTTCCCCATAGCCTCATTCACATGCACATCCTGAGCCCCCCCTACAGCTCCATTATTGCTCACAAATTTCTTCCAAGTTGCTCCTCCACAATGTTGCTCCCCCAGGCCTCCACCTTAAGCCACCCCTAGGCCCCCCACAGCTCTGTGCGGACCAGCAATACAGGAGGGAGAACATATTGTGGAGGGGACAGTGGGAACAGGTTTGTACAGGTTGACATAGGTGAGGGCAAGTCTGCAGGTTTTAGGACAGGAAATGGGGCTGTGAAATACCCCCACCAAAAAGTTTAGTCAGCTTTGGTTTAAGGTTAGCAGTCTGCATATTCCATCACTGAAAACTGTAAAAAGCAAAGAAATAAGCTGGCAGTTAATTCATTTAGTAGGCCGTCCACACTCCGCTCTAGAACTGGCCAGAAAATTCTCATGAAAAATTTCACATTTTTGGGGTGGAAAAAACCCATCCCAAATTGGGACAAAAATTTAATGGGAAGGGAGTTCCAGAAAAATTCTGTTTCAAGAGAACCAAAACAGAATAATTAGGATTGCTGGCTACAAGCTGGGAAGGCACTTGTAAGTGAAACTGAGCTGTCATTTTAATTTTCTGTCAGGAATTTTTTTTTTGGCAAAAATTTGATTCTGCAAAAAGGGCATTATCTGTTGAAAAATTCCTGATCAACACTACTTCACTCGTCAATTCCCCTTCTTAAACTATATTTACCTCTCCTCCAGCATCCTCAGTCCAAATATTTCTACCATTAAATTTTGTGTAGGATGATAAGCAGTGTTGCCAACTCTTGCAATATGGTGTGTTTCTTAAAGCCCTTACCTGTGGGAAGCATGTGATTAGGTGAGCATCTCAGCTTTAGTTTTTACTTAAAATGTGTAGGCCTTATGGTTGCAAAGAGAAGCTTGAAAACATTATCTAAGTGCACCCTAATGGCTCAAAAACCAGTAGCTAAGTAAATGTTGGGTTCTTTTTGTTTTATAAAAAACATGATTGTTTTGGGGCCTGACTCATCATTTGTAAATGCTTGGCAATACTATGATATTAGAAATAGAACACTGCAATAATTAGAGAAAATCTATTTTTTCTCTAGTTCTCCAAAGAAAATATTAATGTTTACATTAGAACTACTTTTGTTGACCTTTCAAATTTCTTTGAGTGTTGGAAATCTCAGTAATAATATTGTGCTAGTGCAGGAAAACCAGAAAGTGAAATTGAAGTTTCACTATCCAAACTGAATGAAATACAAAAAGTAAATAAAACAACACAAATGGTAATAAAAGTAATCTTATAATTAGTAACACAAAGAGCTTTTTAAAACATTGTGTATTATTTTTTATCTCGACAGTGTCTCTTTACAGTCATTGCATTACAGTATAAGATTTTCATTTTAAAGAAGAATTATATGTAGTAGGTTAGGGCCAGAGTAAGGACTACCTCTGATTCGTATTTCATATAGGACACATAGTTCTTAACTGAATGTCACTTTAGTAATGTAATCTTGTTTCATATCTACACTGTATAAATCTTAAGACATATTTTGGATACCAACATCATAATAGTGGATTAAATAGAAGGGATTAAAATTCTCTCCAGAGTTATTCAGGCAACATTGTTGCAGTCTTGTCTCAACCTGTACTTTTAAATAGATATCTCAGTAAAAATACATTAGAGAATATGAAATAAATTGGTTTAGAAAAATGTTTTTCTGCTTTCCTCTGCTCAAACATGCTTACTCCAGCCCTTTGCAGTTGTTTTTCCTCTGAAGTCAATGGAAACAAAACAAAAAATAGCCATTACTGTTGAAGTTTCACAAAAACATTTTCCCATGCGCCCTCTGCTGGCTCATCATCAGCAGTTAATTGACATTTCCAAGAGCAAGAAGCATTCCTATTTGTGTTTTTAAATAAATAATTTTTGTTTTTTTGCTGTAATTAATGGATTTAAACATCAAATTCACCTTCATTGATTGGCTTCTGTTTCAGTTATAAAGATGTAATGGAGAATAGGACAAAATTAGTAGGGAACATACAGTAACAATCTGCTAATGCCCAAATGTGGGGTAGTAATCTAATGTGAAGGACACAATAACATTGTTAATGCAGGAAACAAAATATGATGGAGTTAATTTCTTCAGCATACATAACATATTCAGTAAACCTCTAGTTTAAAATTAGGGCTGCCCCCCATGATTTTTTGAAAGGCTTGTTATATTTCCAAATCTGAGAGCATTATAAACAAAGGCAAAGAAACTGCTTATCTTATCTTTATGTGGGGGAAAATCAATCCAAGAAAGAATCTGCCATTAATAAGGAAGATGTTGGAGATGAGAAGAATGTGTATGCCCAGCTAGTCCATCTTCCTGCCAAAAAGAGGTTGTTTCTTAAAGTGCTTTCATCAGTCTTTATGGGCCAAATTGTGATATCTTTATTCAAGTTGTGTAGTAGCTTACTCCTCTAACTGATTTCGGTGTGACTACTTACCAAATAAGGTATTAATCAATCTGAATAAGGTTATCAGAATCTGACCCTAAATGTCTCATGTAATAGGGAATCCTGCACCTTTCTTGGGCATTTATTCCACAGTCTCACACATCTCTGTTTGATAACTTTTCCTACCATTTAGCTATTGATCCAGTTATTTTCCTTATATCCCCATTTACCACTCTAACCACTCTCCCTTGTTCAGATCTTACAAATATTTTAGACAGCAATGCTATCCCCCATCTATTTAGTTCCTTTCCTTTTTCCTCATTATTCAATGCCTCTGCAGCCCCCTAATTTTACTTATTGCTTTTCTCTGATATCTCTCCCACTTATCTGTCTTTTGGTGTTGAGGTACTGAGAACTAAACACAGCATTTTAGGTGTAGTTCCACAATGCAATGGGAATTGAAGGTTGTCCATTCCTCACATTATTGAGTCTACTAAGAGGGACTATCATGTCCCTGCTCCATGACATAGCTCCCTTCCATGAAAGCACTTTTTGTCTCTGGGGAATATTATTATTTATATTATGGTAATGCCCACAGCCCATAATCAGGATTGTAGCCTATTTGTTCCAGATATAAACACATGCTGAGGAAAAGTGAAAATGCAAGAGGCCATTATCAGGCTGTGCTATCCTTGTAGGCAAATAGCAAATTTAAAACTGTGTCTTTTTTACAATTGTTATCTCCTGCCCCACATGACAGCTAATAATTTTTCAAATTGATTCTTACTTTGTGACCACATTTCTGACCTTTTTAGATTTCTTTGTATTGCTCAGTCTTCATGATGTTCACCTCACAATTTGACATATCTCACTGAGGAACATCTCCCCATCTAGCTCCTTGTTACAAGGACTATCTCTCCCTATAGATTTGTACAACACTAGCATATTTTAGTTGTTATTGTAATAAAATTAATACAGTACTAGTGACAATACTAAGGGGCCAATCCTGCAATTCACTGCTCTGCCCTCTTGAAGCCCTGATGGCTTCAATGGGGGTTCTTTGCAGATGCAGCAACATGTCTGTATGTAGTGAATTATAGGAGCAGAACCAAAGTCCGTATCATCTTCAACATGATAGTCTCATTATTTCCTCTCCCAGATTATGTATTGTTATCTCTCTTGATCCAGGCAGCTAGTCCATTTTCAAGGTCTGGTGGGTTGTTTCCATCTGGTGGAGAAATTGATAATGGAATCAGATATTTCTTTGATGCAATCTTGTTTATTTACAAAAAATGCACACTAAATCCCATTTCCCTGAACACAGTAGGAACCAAACAACAGGAGGTAGTTTCTTTGCTTACAGTTCCAGGCCTGCCTTTCTAGCCAGCACTCTGCTCAAAAATATCTCTCTCCTTTTTCTCTCAGGACCATGCTTCCAGTGCTTCTGTGGCTTCTTCTGGTGGTAGACATAGGGTTACCATATTT